GACATGAGGGTGAGTAATTAATGACAGAATTTTCATTTTTGGGTGAACTAACCCTTTGAACTGCTGCCTTGTAGACAACTCACCAAGTTTTGAAACAGCGCCATGGAATAGGTTCGGGTACATAATCTATTTTATGTTATAATCTAGTGTGAGAGTGACACATGTTTTGATAGAATGAAAGAGAATGAGACATGCATACAGACTGGAGCATTATGAACATTATACAGCCGGATACAGACAGAGAGAAGTGTACTCTCCAATCCAGGCAGGTGTTGAAGTAGCGTGTGTGTGTGTGTGTGTGTGTGTGTGTCTTAGACAGTCTGTCCCAGTTGGCCATGACAGCAGAAGAATCATGAGAGCAGGAACATGCTCACAAAGATCAATGTGTTTTTCTCTGTGTTTCTTTTCATTCCAACTCACTCTCATACCCCCAAACCCACCCCCGCCCCAATGTGTACAGTGCTGTGAATGGCATTAAAGAGAAGGTTTTCATGTGTAAATTAAATATTTTGTCAAGGTGTGCTTGTTAACAAACAAAAACATGAATACAATTTTATTCTATACGTGTTGAACTATTGACATTGATGAAGCCAAAATGAAGAAATACTTATAATAGAAACTGCTGCTTGAACCAAGTGAGCAATAACTGTATGATGTCACTCACTGCAGGGTTTCAGACTATGTTGTTCATTTGGTGGCATCTTAACACATTTCAAACAGTATGTGAGGGGCTATTATTCAGTTCTGTAAATGAATTGTTATATTTGATATTTAATGCTGTAGCATGTGTATATTTATTTGTGTGTGCTTTAAGTATTAGTATGCAGTGTTCATTGTGGGTGTGCTTGTATGTGAAATGTGTTTGTGTGTAGTACAAAAGCCCTAACAAAGCAGAGATGACAGCAATTAACCAAATGAGATGAAACTGTACATGCTAAAGTGAGTGAAAGACATACATAAAGTAGGATTCTTAACTCGGGCGCACATGCATTGCCGCACACATGCACATTTGTTAAAATCATCCTCCAGTGATTGTCCTTGCGTAAGAGCAGAAGTTTATCTTTCAATGACAGCTGGGGAGATCTCTTTTTCTCCATCAGTCTCTCGATTTTATGCTATATATCTTCATATTGTCTTGATTGTCTTTTAATCTAACCCATGACATGCCGTGTGACTCATTCATCGTCTATGTAAATCATACTGCACTGCGTTCACATTTCATCTAGAAGTATATTGTCATATGACACCAGCACACACACACACACACACACACACACACACACAGAGAGAGAGACTCGTGAGTCTCAAACACACAAGCTTACCAGCTAATCCCCTGTAATAACACAAACTCACACACATTGCCTCAAAGCAACACCTGAAATAAGAATCAGAGCCTCATGCTCTCATTGGCAATCCAGGCACCCATGTTTTAGAGTCCCGGGGGAGACTCACTACCAGAGAACGAGTGAGAATGGGCACGAGGGCTGTCAGGTTGTCCAACCCTGGCTAGACAGATTGCCTCAAATCCCACCTCAGGTTTTAGACATGTGAATGGATATTAAAAAAACACATCATTTTATTCAAGGAAAACCAGAAACAAACTCCAGGTGTTGAGACAGATTTACACAGACAGATCAATAGTTAAGTAAACAGACAGAGAAATGGATGGATGACGGATAGATGGCAGACAGACAGACAGATTCAGTAGCAGCAGTGGAAACAAGTTCAGAACATAACAGAACAATTACTGTGGGCTACCCACTGATCTATAATAGAGAGCATCCATACTTTATATAATTTATACACTGTCAGAAAAAAAGTGCAAAATTGTAGTTTTAATGGGTACAACAGCTTGTCACTGGGGCAGTACCCTCAAAGGGACATCTTTTAACCTTTTTTTTAACACCCTTTTTTGCACATTTGTTTCTGACAGGTACTTCTGCTGGCACGATGAAAGGATGTATTACACAATCTGTTATCACTCATCAGGAATGATCCACAGTATAGCTTCTTAGAGCAGCTTAATGAGACTAAATACAGGATTAAAATTCAATTGATTTGAAATGCAATTTCAGTTCACATTATAAGGCATGGAATTGATCATGGTCAAATGTTGAGCTGTGCAGTTTGTAAAGGGCAAAACACCAGCTGAAATTCATCACCAACTTGATTTCTATTATTATTATAACTACCCATGCGAATGGATGTATCAATATATTAATATAATCAACAGTTCATAAAAATTGAGAAATATTTGGAAATATGAATTAAAATGCTTGGAATGAATTGGAATGGTTTAGTGAGCACTCATCCCACGGAAAATAATTCTGCATCTCCTTTAATGATGACAGCGGTGGTATTTACAAAGGATTTGATGACTAATGGACACGAAAATTGACTATTAATAATAATATTCAAATGACGATTAATAGTAACAAGACACACAAAATGATTTTTGCTTTTGATATGACTTGATAGCGATACACTAAAACCATTCCAAAGTTTGGGTTCGGTAAGATTTTGAAATGTTTTTGAAAGAAGCCTCTTATACTCACCAAGGCCTCCTATTTGATAGCTGTATTTTGAAATGCAGTAAAAAC